CTGAAAAAAACAAAATTTATATAATAATCGTCAAAGTTGAAACTACTACATACTATTGAAATCTATTATATTTGATTTGCACCTTTTAAAGATAATAAACCTTTTTCAAATCCATGTAATATCTCTTGTCAGATTCTGTATGAGGTTTGGAGGATATCAGAGAATAAAAGTACTGGATTAAATGATGTAAAATCCTTTCTACACAAAAATAAAAGAGGAACTGATGCACCGTTTAGTAGAAACTGTTAATAAGAAAATCGAGTTATTTTATATTTATCTGAAAAGCAAATGAGTTAAATGTAGTAGGACAGCAACAAGTATAATTTGAAGCTAAAGATTTTAAGTGGTTATCAAAACATTTTCTGCGTATAAGAAATCATTTTTAGATTTTTTAGATTTTCAGAATTTTTGCCAAAAACCTTGATTTTTAAATCACTGTGTCCTGTCGTTACAATGTCATTCACATAATGTAAATAAAAAGAAACAAAAACGGAAGTCTTTTAAACGGGTCGAATTATGTACAATCTATTGACTTCATTGTGTGCGTATTGCGATTGATTTTTAATTACGAAATTGAGCGTTTCTTGTATCGTATTCCGGTCCATGTTATATTCATTGGGGGAGGAGGATCCAAAAATGGACAAAAACGTCTGAACTTTCTGTATATTTATATTGTAAGAATAAAAATTTATCACATGCTAGCTACAGCAGTTGGCTCTTATTTACTTTTGTTCCTTTAAATATGAGATGAACTTACAGTACGACGTTGTGTGAAGGTGTCGGTGGTCCGGTGGTTGCATGCTTTGAGTATATGTGAGAGTATTGGCGCCGGTCCATTGCGGTGCTCCGGAATTATAGGGAGCGGTGCCCACGGGGAAACCATTGGCGTGATGAAGATGCACAGGTGACACGGGAGAACTCTGGCCTTCGCCTGTTCGAATAAAGAGAAAGAACGAGCGATGAAGCGTATGACCGAAGAAAGTGTTGTGAGAAAGTTTTGTAAAGAGAATAGCTGAACGTATTCGCATCCGAGTTCCTTCGTAAAAATGTCTGTGTTTCAAAAGGATATGATGGTTTTCGGGTCGGTTGGTGTGGTCTAACCGGTGTGGTGCGCTACTGAACTGATTATATACCTAGAGAAGCGGCTAGCGCGTCGACTGTGGGGGATTGGTTGATATCCTGCGGCGGCGTCGTAGTTCCGTAGAACGTGTCGGTCGATTGTCCTTGCGCGGGATTCATAATCTGTGCGCCGGACGTGCCGCTGGACGTATTCAGTGACTGTTGTTGGCTACCTACGGTGTGACTCATTGGATGTACTACCGCTGCAAAATCAAAATTCATACACGGATGCAGGCAACAAAATTCAAGGCAGAAACGAAAGGCTCTCGTGTCACCGTCACGTGACCGATTGTTCCGAAACGCGCGTAGATCGCACGAACCAGTACTTCCCAAAGAGACCCCGAACGTTCGCTAAATCATAACTCGTGGATGCCGCTGTTACTTCGTTACCCGTTCCCGGAGCGCTTAGATTCTTAAATCACAACTTGGATTGTCATTTTAAACAGACAGAAACATATACAAAGGCAATATAAAAAAAGCATGTCGAAGATTGTTCTATAACACTTATGTAGACATCTTCCTCCGTTTTATTATAATTTCCTTTTTGCTTTAATCCGCATAGAGATAGTTTCCAAAATGCCACTTCAATTAGACCCTATGTTTGTCTGGGAATTTTACAAATTCTGTGGATTCCGCAAATGGCAACTTGGATTCGATTCGTGCAAGGCGTTAGAATTAAAACTTGAGTGAGTCTGACTCGAACCTATGAGGGGCCACAAAGAAGGCACACTGGCGACACTGAGAGAGCGCAGACTAATCAGCGACAGAATTGATAGCTCCTTAAATAAAATAAGGCTTGTGGTACATAAAATACGTACGATGGTGTAAATTACGGCCTGCCGAGTGATGAGGCGTGGGAATCCAGGTTTGCCTGGGGCAATTATTGTCGTCCAGTTTAGTGTGGGGATTACCATTATTGCCGCCCCCACCGGCGCTAAACATACCCTCAGTACTGGCTGTGCCGAACAATTAGAAGGAAAAGAAAACAATGAAGCCAAAACAAAAAAATTCGAATACGCAACGAAAGGGAGAAATTTGCGAAGCGAGCTCTCTGTCTGCCTAAGATCTACATTCGCAAATTACACGAAAGCAGCTGCTCGTTAGCTTAATCCAAATAATCAACCATCGTAGCGCAATTAGATGGTATATCTGTTACGGCCAAAACCCAAAAGGCAACCAATTCGCAAACTACTCGGCCAATTCTACAACTGTAACTTACCAGTTACAGTTCAAAACATTGTAACGCTAACAGTTCGTATTTTATTAAGGAATATCTATTCAAATAACATATGCCAGGAAGAGAACACAAAAGTAAGTATATCGCAAAATACATTTCCGACATATCGAGATAAGTTATCGAGATGAAGATCGGGATAAAAAAATATTTATACAAAATTTCCCCGAGCTTTGGCCGTAACATATCTATGCAGATTTTCCTTAAGAAACCATCGTTACATGCTAAATTTGCAATTGGCTATATTAATAATTCACATTAATCTTCATATCCGAGAGACAAAGATATGCGTTAAACAAATTATCAAGGTGTATTCCCACCTAGTGGCCAGACATTAATCACAAACAAATTTGCAGCACAAATTTGCACTTGTGCAAAGCCAATTGAATCGAAATTACGACAAAGTTGAAGCTTCGAAAGGAATAGAAGGAGAAAGAGTGAAATCAAATCATAAACTTGTATTTACTTGAATTAGGTGGAGGTAAACCCGATATGAAGCTTTGCTGAGCTTGTTGAGCGTTGTTCGAAGCGGCAGGCTGTGCTGAGGGATGATGCTGGATGGTCTGGTTCATCTCGCCATCCACGTCCATCGCAGACCCGACCGCAGCGGCTGCAGCCGCGGCAGCAGTGCCGCCACCGCCGACCGTGTACTCATCTTTGACCAGTCTACCACCAGGTCCAACGCCCACTCCGGATTGCAGCGTCAGCCCGGACAGGTCTGTAAAGAATGGATCTGTGCGGGAAAACCAACCCATTCCGTCACACACCGAGGTCACAACAATCAATAATCAGTGCTCTAACAAACGGATATTGGTTAACCCCAGGGGATGTTTATCTTTATCTGGTTTGACAATTACGATGAGGAATGATTCAAAATAACGAAGACTAAAACTTAATTGAGCTTAACTGACCTTTTGTGGTCGTATAATAAAGACGAAAGTAAAAGATGATAATCCAGGCGATAATGAAAAAAGGGCAAGGAGATAAAGATAACACAAACATACAGCGGATGCATGCAGTGATAGGAGACGAAGATACTGAAACAGAGACTAAACATAATGCTGAACGACATATTGTAACATACCTATGCCAGGCGATACCACCCGCTCGTAGTGATATGGATTCACGCAGACCGAGTCGCACTTTAAGTCGAAAGCGAACTGGCAATACTTCACATGTTTCAGCTCGTTCTTGTGCAAGTCGGGCCATCTCCAGATGCGAGCATAGATCACATGCGGAAACCCTTTGCGTCCTGCAACCTGCAGCCTGCCATCCAGAGTTCTCTGGATGGTGACGCACTTGCTGGGATGTGCGCCATTAGTGGTGATCGCGGTGATCAAACTGTCCAGCTCATCACGTTTCTCCTGTTGGTTCCATATATATATTTACTATGCGACACAACATTAATTTTGTCAGTTACAGATCACAGGGATAGTTTTGTACTATAATGGAGTGAGTAACATGTTCTGCTAGATCTGAATCACAAATATAAACTGAGTAACATGTTATTTACTTTAAGTTTTTTCACCAAAGATTCAATTGCTCGTTTGCTGAAGCCTTCACTCTCACCACCTTGACGATGGCACATCAATGAATGCACAATGCTCAAACAGGCATCGGCACTGGTTGGTGCACTCGGTGCAATCCCGGTCATTTCTCTTACTGTATTAAAAAATGACCAAGATAGACAGGATGTGTGATACAAATACAGTGAGAAAATCTGGCTTTACTTTTGAAATGCTTTTTATAACAAATATAATATTGACACTTACACTCTGGATTAGGCTGCATGGGGGGCGAGGGATACAAATGACCTCCCCCGCCCGCCAACCCAACCATCTCTGTAAAAGCCGTGATGGATACTGTTGTGCTCCTTTCTCTGAGACACTGGTCTTATTCTTGGACTTGGCACAGTCCGATTCTTTAGATTTTACCATCTAGTAACAGTATCTTGTCCATGTGTCACAATAGTTGTTTTCCTGCAAATTATTTTAATTATATTTCCTGTAGTCTATATTAATCTTGACCATAATTTTAATTTGCAAACTAAATTTAAAAGCATTGTTTGCTCCACCTTAACACAGTAATAAAGACACAAGCCTGCCTTTGTTTACCCACTACCATTGGTGACACTTGAAAAAGGTATCATTCCAATAATAATTAACCAACGTCAACGTATCTGGCCGTACACGATGGTTGTGAAAATGACTTAAGATTAACCACAGACCGTCGTAGCGAAGTATCGGTAGCCTAGAGACTTACATTCGAGCGGAAATATGAGAAATATAACTCAGGCCTAAAAGGCGACACGTCCGCCAAGTGTACGAGATGAACAGAATACATTTACGAGTTGACTGCGAGACATCAGCGAAACGTCCCGGACGAAAGAGACCCTGTCGAGATCCGTTCTGCGCGGGTGCGCTCGGTTCACTTCCAAGGATGACGTCCGATGACAGTTGCGCGCGGTGAGACGCTCGCGCACGACGACTCGGTTCGTCGGCTCGCGTCGTCGGTCGCGATTCACGGCGTGGAACGTTGCGGCGAGCGCAAAGCTGCGAGCGATGCGAGAGTCGATCTGATTCTCGTCCTTCTGGCTGATCACCGATCGGCGGGCACGACGCGCGACAGACTGACGTTCCGACGATTGTTCACGACAATTCGCGCCGAACGTTGCTCCGACGTATAGGTTAGCACATCAATAATACATATCCGCGGGGCGCGGATGATGTCGCCGTTCGCAGTATCGCCAACTTTCGCCAGCGAATTTTCAACTTTGGCAATAATAGCGCCGATTTGCTCTCTCCTTAGCTGCACTTCTCGTCGATTCGTACTTTCCCGCAGGCAAAACGAATTTCTCAAAGATACCTTAAAGCCCGTATCAGACTCCGGATTAGAGATTGGGATTGAATTGAAATTTGACCAATCAATGCGAAGTTCACTAAATTTCACCAAGCTGGAGTTCAATTAACTTTGCACTGATTGGCCAAATTCAATTCTCAATCTCTAATCCGTAGTCTGATACAGGCTTAAAGCAAATTCGTGTGAGATTATCTTTCAAACGTCTTTAAGAGATCTTCTGGAAATTTGTTCCGCTTCGGTTGTGAGAAATGCCCGTTCCAAGTTTGCACTTTTTGCACTCGGTCTTATCGATCGACGATCGTATGATCAGTTATCTTTTATCCCCGATTCTGTTAACTTCGGTTAACCTAACCGATCGATTGATTCAATGGAATTGATCAATCGCATTGTCCAATTAGCCAACTGATTCATGTGACTGTTGTCAATTTCATTGAGTTGACTCAATTTCATTGAGTCGATTAGATTAACCAAAGTTGTTGGAATTAGGGATTAATGTCATCGCGTTTAATTTGAATGTTTGAGATATTCAAGTCCTAGGCATTCTGTGCACTTTTGGGCGCACGACTTTAGTCAAGAAAACATTGCGTCGAACATACTGACATCTACTCTGAGAATCACAACCGCGACATATTCAGTTTGCTATGATGAACGGATCACGGCACGGCGCAACGCAGGTTTGGGAAGTTGTTTCGTGTTTTTTCATGGTTTCGATTTGCCGGAAATGAATAGGTCGTTTGAACCGCTGAAGGTACGTGTCATGAATGAGTTATTGCAAGATAAATGATGAAAGATGATGAAATAGCTAAAACCGCCTCAGGAAATTATACCGAGCAAAGTACTTCGCGTAGTGATGGTTAAGGATGCACTGGAGCCAAATATCGATTGTGTAAAAGTACTGCTGAGCTGCACTTTCCGTCTCTGCGCTTTTCCATATTTTAACTCAGAGAAATCATATTTGTTCGTCATACTATTTTTGAAATCTTTCTTGCGAATATATCTAGCCCTATACAGAGAAAGATTTTGCAATTAAGGCCCTAAGAATTTATAATAAATGGAATTATGGATTTGTGCTGCACTGTAAATCGCTGCACTCACAGCATTTGAAATGCAGCACGAGCTTATATTTTCATTTATTAAATATTTGTAAAAGCTTAACTTCAAGATCCAACTTCATTGTCCCCTCGGGACATTTACAAGGAAGGCTCCAAAAATTGTTTGATGAGTATATATCGTTTTTCCAATTCAAAAGAATGTTGAGTGTGCTTACTACGGAAAGTATCGCTAATCAACACTTTTCGTGGTATGTACACTCAACACTTTATTGACTTGGAGAAATGATATTTGTTTACCGAACAATTTTTGGAGCTTTCCTTGAAAGTGTCCTGACGGTGGGAGAAATAGAGCTGGATTTCATAATTAGGCTTTTACAAATTTATAATAAATGAAAATACAAACTCATGTTACAACTTTGAATTCGTATATATTCACTTATTATAAATTTTTAGGGTCTTAGTTGCAAAATCCGTCTCTATACAGGGTTAGGTACATTTGCAAAAAAGATTCCAAAAATAGTTTAATGAACAAATATGATTTCTCCGAATTAAAATATGAAAAAGCACAGATACGATGGAAAGTGTAGCTTAGCGGTACTTTTATAATCGATATTTAATTCCTAAGCATCCTTCAGCATAGAGATATAAGAATAGAGGGAACAAGGGATATATGCTACCTGTAAGTGGAAGTGATAGAAGTCAAGAGAGAGATGGATGTCGAGTGTCCTATCTGTCTCTTTCTAGTCGAGCGCTGTGATTGGTTGTTACAATGAGCCCCCAAGCGACCACGCGACGTCAGGAGGGGAGAAAGCAGACTAAAATTTCGTTTTGTAAATATGCGTGCATATGTGTGTAGAATTAAAATTCGTTAAATATTTGAACGTTAACAAAATAATAATTGGACGCGATTTGTTTAAAAATGAAATATTGTTTGAAATGCAAGGCGGAGTCTTATCCTGGATGTAACCGCAGTTTTCACTCGTAAGAAAGTACAAATACGTANTGGAGATTGAGGCTCGGTTTCACCAACGCGAGTTAATCAAATCGGTCGATTAAATTCAGTTCATCCATTGGAACTGACCAATAGCATCTATTTAACAACGATGCAATTGGACAGTTCCAACGGAAGAGCTGAATATAATCGACCGATTTGATTAACTCGCGTTTGTGAAACCGGACCTGAGATTATGAATTAAAGATTAAAAATTGTCCAATCATAACTAAGATTTGTATTGCGATCGATGGCATAAAGATTGAAAATTGTCCAATCACAACTAAGATTTCTATTGCGACCGAGGCAACTTTCATGTATGATTTGTTTTCTTCGAGATGTTCTCGATCTATCCAATAGGAATCCTGATACATAAAGCATTGTCGGGAATACCACGAACGAGTTCTCGACGTTTGTCGCAGTCAAATACCATTCAAAGATTGCCAAAAATAAATATTTTGCATAATGAGTATCGGATGAATTGGCGCGCGTCGGTAGTTCAAGCATCGGGAGATGTGCTGTGGTATGCGCAGTAATCAGAAGACTGTTAGTCACCTCTCGCACACACTTCTCGCGATTTCAACTCGTCGAAGGTGAATTTCTCGCGCGCGAATTATCGTTTCTGGTATTGCCGAAAGAAGTTTCGTCCGCTCGTTGGCGAGATATCGTTCATTGAATAGCCACTGAACGCGAGTATCTCGCGAAACGTTCCGTCGAGAGCACCGAGCAAGATGCAATGCGTAATTGCTTAAATAGAAGAGAAAGTGACGATGGCGTCGAAATGACGTAAAAATTATGAGAGAATGATCGGAAAACGAGTTTTTATAGTCATTTCCTCGTCATTTAGATATAATTTTTATGTAATCGTGATTTCTTGTTCTACTTGAGTAGCAATTGGCCGTTTATGTTTTGGACCGATTAACGGAGAATTTGGTGAGCAAATCATCCTCGGGAATGCAGAAAGTAACTTCTCTGCGCTTGTAGCGAGATATCATTAAAACATTAAGACACCACTAAAAGCGAATACTTCACGTAAAGGCATCACGAATGTCGCGTGAAGTTGGCGCGCATCGAGAATCGCAAGTCGCACGTAATATGCACAATGAACATAAAATAGATGGCGTCGTGGCCAATACGCGCCCGAAAATTCATCATTCCGCATCTCTCGAAATTCCTCGTCTTATCAGGCATGAATTTCGTGCGCGAATTATCGGGAGTGCCGAAAGTTTCGTGCGTTCGTTATGACAAAATATTGCTGAGTAGCGAATATCTCGCGAAAACGCGGTCCGTCGGAAATGACGAACAAAGTGTTTTGCGCGTTCATCTCGTCGCAACGGTTGGAAATTTTAAATCACCGTCATTTTCGTTTACGATTCTCCGAAAAAGTGTAGCGAGTGAGATATTGTTGAAAATGCCGAAAGTAAATTTCGCGCGTTCGTTGTGACAGAATATCGTAAAATAGCGAGTATCTTACGAAATGATCCGTCGAAAGTGCCGAGCAAAGTGCCGCACATTTATTGCGTCCTAATGGTCCGAAATTCGAGTCGTTGCTATTTCTGTTTGCAACTCGTTGGAATCCTCGCGTGTGAAATATCATCAGGAGTGCCGAAACGAAGTCCCGCGCGTATGGTGATAAAACATTGAGTGGAACCGCTGTAAAATATGCCGTCAGGACATCATTAGGAGTGCCGAGAAAAAAATATGATAATCGGAGTTCGAGTTGCTACATTATATGCTACAATTTATTTTTTCTCGTCATAGAAAATCTTTGTATGTACCAATTTTATATACGAGGGTTGATCCAGAAATAAGGTTCCCATCAATTTTACAAATAGACAACATCGTTTATTCTCATAGAAATTTACATCGTTGGAAAGATGAAACTTTGCTCTATTTTTCTACATAATCGCCATCTTTTTCTATGCATTTTTGTAGACGGTGCTTCAATTTCTGTATCCCAATGTCGTAGAACTCCGTCGCCAATCCGTTGAGGAAACGTTTCACCTCTTCTTTGACTTCATCGTCGCTCCGTGCAACACTGAGAAAACTCAGGCGAGCTATCCAGAACCGCCGGCGACGACTGACAGCCGGTATAACGCTGCTTCACGACAACGCACGACCTCACATCTCCCGTCAAACCCAGGAACTTTTGACACACTTAGGGTGGACTGTCATGCCCCACCCACCTTACAGTCCGGACCTCGCGCCTAGTGATTATCATTTGTTCTCCAAGTTAAAGAAACACTTGAGTGGCCAACGCTTCCGGAGCGACGATAAAGTCAAAGAAGAGGTGAAACGTTTTCTCAACGGTTTGGCGGCGGAGTTCTACGACATTGGGATACAGAAATTGGAGCACCGTCTACAAAAATGCGTAGAAAAAGATGGCGATTATGTAGAAAAATAGAGCAAAGTTTCATCTTCCAACGATGTAAATTTCTATGAGAATAAACAATGTTGTCTATTTGTAAAATTGATGGGAACCTTATTTCTGGATCAACGTATATTTTATGATAACTGATCTTAGATCGTAAAAGAGCTATATTACCTAATCAGAAATGAAAAATCGAATTAGTGTCGATTATAGTGGTCTATTTCGACTTCGTTAAACAATTTTTCATATATAATTATATATAAGACGTCATATATGAAGTTTGTCCATATATAAAAATATATAATTATATATGATGTGGTGATACAGTTATATATGATAATATATAAACATACATTTTAATATATAATCATATACATATAATTATATATTCTTATATATGGACATATATTCTACATAATTATATATGAACACATTTTTAACAAGAACTGTGATCAGCGTTAATTTACCTCTATGATCAAACAGGAACTTCTGATACTAATATGTCCTGGCGATATTTTGAAAGGTTATATTTATAATATATTCTTATATCATTCATATAAAAAATACTGTAATGGCATAATGTTGGTAATAACAATCACAAAAAAAATAGGGAAATTGAACGGAAATTAATGTAATGACAACTTAAAACGATGACGTTGACGTTTACTTATATTGTGACTCTTTCCCATATTTATTTACTTGTATTTATTTTTTAATATCTCCGAAAAATTCTTAAATCACTGTTTAATACACATATTTGCATAGGTTATAACGTAACAAGCGTATATTAATTAACAATTTAACGATTTTATAACAAATGACAAGAATTTTATATTCCGTATTTTTTTCCAATTTTCAATTTAACATTGCATTAGATAAAAGTCTTGCACCTACTGTTACAACCGATTAAACCCTTTTCTCAGCTTTTCTCAGCCTTTTCGACGTGGAAACTTACAGAAATTTTTTAAATTGTTCAATTGATATAAAAATATTATTTATTACAAGGTCGAAAATGATAAAAATATCGACTGGTATTCAACAACGACCATTCATCGACACATCGACTTTTCATTTCTGGATGGGATAAAATTTTACATTCCTATATAAGACATTACTTCATTGTATAATTTATTGCTTTAAATTTATTTAATTGAAAAAAATTATTAAAGTATATGGTATTGTCCAATATCTCTATATTTGACCATAGATCTTACAAGAGGGGGTGTAACTCAGTGGTAGAGTGTCTGCTTCGCATGCTGAAAGTCCTGGGTTCAAATCCCAGCTCCTCCACAAGTACATATTTTTTTTTCATTCTCTCCTCCCTCCCTTATTTATCTACTTAACGTTATAAAATTTACGTAATTATACATTTTATTTTTTTTTATAAAAAATTCTTAATTACACTTAAAGAGTATATAATATACACCTTTATCTTTCCTAAAGTAGATATGCTTAGAGAACGAATACGTAAAATCCAGATATCTATGAATTATGACTGCTCGTAAATTAAAAAGATGATAACGTTATCCTATAGTAGTATAATCCTATAGTAGTATAGTCAGTTGACAATTGACTTGGAAAGACATTAAGCTTACTCGAGATTTTCAAGTAATGTAAATTTGACGCAATTGCGACATTTTTGGTGAATCCTCTTTTTCCAGAAAACTTAATATATTGCCCAATGCTACAAAATAAAGAAATCAGTTTAGATTCATGAAGTGAATAGATTGAATCTTAACCCTTTGCACTCGAGGGCTCCGGAGCGGAGCCATTTGTCTTCAAACTCGAGGGTTCCGCTATGGAGACAATGCAAATAACTTTCAGTTCATAACATAAGGACAAAGACAAATCGTAAAAACTATTGTGTATAGGATATTCCGCTCTTACTATTTGCATTGTCTCCATAGCGGAGCCCTCGAGTTTGAAGACAAATTTTAAATGGCTCCGCTCCGGAGCCCTCGAATGCAAAGGGTTAATTAGCTTTGAAGATATATTATTTAGCGCTTAATCTTATTAAAACAGCAGTTGCTGATACGTTCGCTTTAGGATCATTACCTCTCTTATCTTTGGAATCCATAAACATGCTAACTATGGAAAATCGACTCAATTGGCTTAATGAATACAGCAGATCCACAAGCAAATCCGTGTCGTTCGGTGTGCAGAATTGTTTTTCCAAGCAACACAGGATAAGACTGAGCATCGTCCCATCCAATTTATTACCTATAACTTTGAATTTAGATTAAAATATGATTTCTGAAAACCACGTTAAATAATCATTTACTGTATAATTTAAATATAGGAAACTATCCAATCAATAACGTTAAAATAGCGTCTTTAAAATACCGATCTTTGCGTAAGAAAACGGAACGGTGTTTCTTTAAATTATATTTAGAAATATATAAAATATAAAAAATTAATATCATGCAGTCATTGTTGTTTTACAATACTTACATTTATTCATATCCTTTTGTGCTATAGATCGCAAAAGCTGCGCGTGTGGTTTCAAATTAGTATCGTTCTTCAAGGATTGCCACAAACGTAGGAATTCGTAAGGCGTTTCGACATCCTCCAGTTTCTGCAAATAGATCTTCATGTGACGTACCTTCCCTAGTCTCCTTTTTTTTGTTACGCAAGAATGTTTCGAGATCTTAAAGTCATTTATACCTTAACGTCCATTTCAAATTTATCGCTTTCCTTCCGACTAACTTCGTTAGCTATCTTATCACACGTTAAATTATTCTTAGCCTTGCTTTCCTTCACGTACAAAATTGATTCTTTATTTTTATCTGCACATAATCCTCTCGTTAATGGACCTTTCTCTTCTCGCGTTTCTTCTTTCGTTTCCATTTTCGCTTTGTCGGTATCGCTAACTTCTCTCGGTCTGTCGCACGTCGTTCCGTCGTTCGGAAGTTCCTCGATGATAACCGACGATTTTCCCTTTCGGGACGACGAGACGCACGAAAAAATAGACTTCTGCAGGCTGTCTCTCACGGCACGCGGTCTGGGCAACGATTCGCAACGAATCGTGAAAACGTCGTTGCTCTTGTGCCCGGCGTCTCGCGCTTTCGACGTTTTATCCCCGCGGCCGGGATCCTTCGCAACAGGTGATAATTTATCGCCGCTCGCAGCGGCGCGCGTTGTCATCGCATTGCTTTTATTCGCCGCGGCGTTTGCTGCTTTGCTGCCCTCGCTGCTTTCCACGCAGTAACTCGCCTTTATGTGCGGCTTCGTCGCGACATTTCGCGACGAGCCCGGCGCTCGGTCGCAGTAACATATATTGCTGTTAACACGCTGTTTCGGCCGCGCGGTGCTCTTCGTTTCCACAGTTTCCTTCGATTTTATCGGCCCGACCTTGTCTTCGCCGTCGCTGGTGTTCTCTTCCTCTATCTTCATTCTGTAATATGTGGTCAAAAATCAACATCTACAAAGTGACGTTCGTGTACACCTCTGCAGGGCGATTATCGTTGCGTGAAAAGTTAAAAAGATGCTTGGCTCACCTCGTTTTCTTCGTTGACTCGCACGGTTTCCTCAGCTTGTTCACGCTCGATATCGCAGTTTTATTAGTCGGCTCCAACGTCAAGACAGCTTCGTAATCGGCCAGAGCCTGCGTGTGAATTATGTATGTGTGCACATTAGTAATTATCATGGAATTAATCAAATTGATTATATGAAATTATGTGAAATGTGATTTACGGAGAATATATAATTATCCTACCTGTTGCGGCTTCCCGAGATGTTCCAGGGATAATGCTCGGCGAAGAAGCGCTTTGACATTTGTGTAATCCATGCTAATTACCATGTTGCAGTCGTTGAGTGCGTCCTCGTAAAGCTGCAGCTTTATATCTGCGAATGCAACACATATTAATTCGATTTTGTTGCAATGCAGCGTTATTATTAGCATTTTAACAAAGATCTGTATCATAACTATAAAATATCTGACTTTTCGTCATTCGAATTTTTAAATAAATTTCAAAACGATTTCAAATTTCAATTTGTTACAAAATGTGCAACTTTCCGTCAAATCTTTTTTATTGTCTAATAATTTAGGAAATTATATGCAATTACATTTTTCAGAAGAAACTTGAAAATTTATATCTGCTTCTCTTTTAAAAATCTTGCATAATCTAGCTCGATATGTCATTAATATCCGTCGATAAAATGAATCTACTTGCATGTCATAGCGCGATTGTTGTAAGCCATTATATTTGAATCAATCTCGATGCTAATGTTGTAATGTCGAAGTGCCTCTTCATAATCTTTCGCCCTAAAGGCTTCATTCCCCTTTTCCCTCTCTTTCGTCGCTATCACGTTCAATTCTGTGCCGGTTAACGAACCTAGAGATAGAGAAAAATTCACAGATTTAGTGCAAGATTTAATTCTGCCAAAATTAGTGGCGTATTTGTATTCAGTAAGTTAGGGGTACGTGTGGTATGCCAGAAATCCCACATCGTTGAAGAAAGTGTACGTGAAATAAAGTGCAAGGATTTATATCTGGGACACCACGTTGGATCATGAATCCACTTGGTAGTTCTTCGTTTTCTCAACAGTCGTCGTTAAGCTCGAAAAAATTACTTCGCGGACTTACGTTTATCGACTGCCGTTTTATGCGTCGCCTTGCTCGTTTTGTCCAACTCCTTACGCCGTTCCTGGATTCTCTTCATTTCGGCCTGTCGCTGCTCGTCCTGCAGATCTATCCTGTTTATTTCCGTGTCGGCGTCGTATTTATCCCAAGCCGCGTAATCGCACGAAGATATTCGTTTGGGCTTAACGTGCTTCTTCTCGTTGATCCTCGCCTTTTTGTCCATGAAACGCGAATTATAAATAAGTCATCATTATCATTTTACTTGCAACCTTTCGTGTGAATAACAGTTAAATTATACTCAGCTTTGTAATAATTAATAATTACCTGCCCAATTATGATTTAAATTTTACAAATTAATTTATACTTTTGTGAAAACACGATATCGCGACAATAAAACACAAATGTTTGCAGTTTCAAAGTAGATGTACTAACTCGAGATAGTTTTTTCTTTCGAAGACTTTGATATTCGAATTTCGAAAATATTGTAGCTTTGAAACACCGGAATTATAAAATTTTTAGAATCGTCGTTAATTTTCATTTTTGTCATATTAAAAATACGAAATATTTGTGTTTTCTTTTTATAGTTATTACTTAGATTCTAAGAAAAGAATATTCATTTTTTATCACGTTTTCATACTAAATAAATATTGAGTCATGTTTTCTATCAAGCTATATAATGTTATTATTTTGCGTTTCCTAAAATTTATACTTTTTACAGTTATTTAAATCGAATATAAATGTAATGGGAAAAACATCTTTCAATAAGAAAAAAACGACTATATAATCTAATATATCCACTTATTTACAAAAGTTTATTTATAACATTTCTCATTTTCTGAATAAAATATATATGAATATTATAAACTATAGCATTCGCAAGATTGTATTCTTCGAAGCTTCGAAAGATTCCGTGCTTCAAGCTTCAACGATTACGGCCTTTGAAAATGAACCTCCGAAGCTTTGCCTTACCAAAATTCGAAAATTTGAAGTTTTCTTCGAAGCTTCAAAATTGTCGAAGATTAACAGTCTGATACTAAATATCTCGATAAAGTGTGTTTGTATATTTTGTGCCTATTAATCTGGTATACCTTCATATTTGATTTAGCCTTTCGGATTTCCGGCTGAGAAGAAAAGCCATCGATGAGAGTAGCTTTTTCTTCACCGATGTCCTTTTCGCGAGATTGCATCTGGCACGTCCAATTGCCAATCTCGTCGTCGATTTCCCGCTGTTTGTCCGGGCTCAACATGTTTCGTCTCAAAACTGGCTCCGCCTTTCTCAAAATAGCGCTCGTCGGTTTAATCCTGGCGAGACGCTCCTCCGCATGCTTCGTCAAATCTGGATATACTCCTTCTTCGCCAGAACTGGTATTAAACCGCAGGTGGAGAAGTTTATCACAAATCGTTAATAAACGTGCCGGAAAATAACGGGTTTAATGGCGCTTTAAGCAGCAAGGTTGCAAATCTCGTTGACGATTAGCGCGGGGATTTAAAAAGCATCCATAGGAGTTGTAATTATCATAATGTACCGCGCATATGTGTACACTTGGCGGATATACGCCAAATAGGAAACGTCATGGATAGAATTAATAATATTTCGCGGAAGTTTTTGAGGAAGCAACCTTGTAAATATGCTTCAGCGGACGTTAAAGGGACTCCCGACATCGGCGAGCGAGATAAAATAGTAACGCTTAATTAGTGTTAGCGCGAACGCGTCAAGTTCTTCGTTTTTTCCCCTCCCCGAGCTTCCGATGACTTTGCAAAGGACTCACCGCAGAACGAGGACGATGTGCTCCAACGTCTTCGCATTGGTGCACTCCGAGATGTATTCGTACGAGAGATTGTTGATCGGTACGTTGTACCTCTCTAGCAGAGTTTTCTTCTCGGGTTTCGCAGCGCTAATCAGATCTACCTTCTCGTTGCCCATAATGACAAATGCGGAGAATGTGGATGATACGCCGCGAAGATCACAGGTTACGTCCGTTGATTCGGTCTGTGTGTTCGGCGGAGACAACAGTTGAACAGCAGTTGAGTAGCAATCGAACCGGATTTGTTGGATCTGCCGGCACATGCCAATCACGTTCAATTACTGTTCAACGGTTGTCTCTGCACTTGACGGGCTCTTTAATTCCAAGTTGCCAGGGATACGCGAGCTGTTGATTCTCCGCGCGGCTCACGATCGATAACGCCTGAAATAGAAACTTATCATCCGTTAATTTTCCCCGAGGAGCGGGGAATCGAATAGTAAATAATTCAAATATGCCGAATGGTAAATCCTTAACGAGAGAGGCTGAAATCGGATTTTCCATTTCTGGATCGCAAAATTGGGAAATTATTCATTTGAACTGTCACACGGACGAAATCTGTCTGCACATAATCTGCGAATAATTTGTAGTTGCTATGAAGTAATTTTTTGCTAAAGAGTTGCAGAGTTGGGGAAAACTGGAGATTCCCTATTTGCTGATGTCGTTATCTCATATTCCTAAATATCTCTAACTTGTAAAATTAAAACAAATTATTGAGATTTACAAAGAAAAACCAGGTTGTGAACTTAAGTCAGACTAGCCAAGTGAAATACTCCAGATAAACAGAAATGCTAAACATAAGGTTTGTTTTTTTTCCTGCATTAGCTGCATTTGTTCAAGAAGTACACGTTCTGATACTCGCTGCTAGTATTGCAAATCTATAGTTCGTGTTACATTACTATAGATTTGCAGTATTGGCGGGGAACATACACTTTTTGAACTATATTTTATTCATTTAGTGCAGAAACAAAAAACAAACTTATAATATACAAACATTTAATATATGCTTTATGATATCATTGCAACAGTATAACATGTTTAAAATATGCTTGTTTTAAGAAATACATTTATTATGCCATAATTTTAGTCCAAGTATTGACTTCTTATTATTACAATAATTCCGAATTAATTGTGTTCTCTTTTGCACAAAATAAACAATAATATTTATGGCATCAGAATATCGTCGCAATATTGCAGCAATTTTCACGCCATTAAATGATTTTTTCTTTATATATTGACAAAGTACTTGTTATAGGACGCGTCTTAATGTGCATATGCTAATCACAATGCAGATAATATATCTAAATATGTATATCTGGTACATTTATAAGAAAACTAAACTTACGTTTCAATTTGTAACGAGACACCGCACCTCGCATCTATAAATATTGTAAACCTCGCCAATTGGAAAAATTGAAAAAAAAATTAAAAGAGAAAAAGGAGAGTAGATAGATAAGTATTTATTCACTTCAACTTAATGCCAAGAAAGGATTTGGTTTACAATATTTAACTTAATTACACTCATTCATCCATATTTTGAGATTATTTGATTAGTTAAAATTCAATACAATAAAACTCAATACATAAATATCACCGCACAAACATGCTTCTCTTATTATTTCTATTCTATTTAATCTATCGCTATCTTTTATATTTAATCACTAATTCTTACTTATTCTTACTTATTTTCTACTTAATTCTTGCATTAACCCTAAGCTATTTATTACTTCGCCTTACATCTCTTCGCTTTCCGTTTTACTTTCCTTTTCTATGTAACTAGTTGTATCTCTTTCCTTGACAAACAGGAGAGTAAAGAAAATCATACCTAAATTTCCGGAGAAAAGTCGAACCGCGGAGAAACTCACCGAGTGACTCATCCCTGACGAAATTAATCCCACACGTTTCCATCTTCGACGATACTGCATCCTTCGAAAAATCCTCTAAATTCCGTAACACGCAAAGTTACTTTCCAACAAGTCAACACAAGTCTCTAGTTATATCATCTATTGTCCTTTTCTTTACTAAATGCGAAATAAGGACAAATGATGATATAACCAGATTTGTATCAATTTGTAGTTGCTTTCCAGCAAGAGACACGAATCAACACAATTCTCGAGTTATATTTAACAATTATCGTTTTCTTTGTCAAATGCGGAATAAGGACAAACGATGATATAACTAAACTTATGTTAACTCGTGTCTTTTACCGGAAAGCAACCAAAGAGTCGAGGAATCGCTCAAATTTTGGAAGAAGAGCCGTAAAAATCGCGACTGTTCGCAAGCTTGCCGACGGCGACACTCAATATCCACTCTGTCTTCGTTCGGAAGACGAATTCACGTCCGCACCTTCACGACATACGTACGATATGTACACATTCGTGAGAGTAGTATGCGAGAGTAGTTCGCGAGAGTAGTATCTACCTTTTCCGCTTCCTCCACCTCCTCTTCGCCGCGGACACGCGCTCCGTGCAGCAGGCGCTCCTCGCGGCTTACCGCGCGCGCTTACCTGTTAACACGGCAGTCGGCTTGTAGCCCTGCGACGCGCCAGTACGTGGACGGAGAAGAGGCGTGCGTGCAAGTCTCGGGTCGTCGTGCCGGGGTTCCCGGTGAGCGCAGCCAAGTGCATATTAGACGAGGCGGCCGCTCTTCGCGGCGCATTCGCCGGCGAGCGCTCGCTGAGAGTGGAGAGAGAGAGAGAGATCGAGAGAGCGCGCGTGCGTGCGTGCGTTCCGCTCCCTCGTGCAAGTGCATTCGCGCGGAGCTACTCTCTCGTTTCGCGAAATACGACGCGCGGGATTGGCTGCGGTTTTGCCTTCGACGAAATTTCTCCCGCCTACCGGGAAACCGCGCGCTCTTCTTCGAAAAGCGCGCCGGATCGCGAGTCGTCGTCTGTGCGTGCCCGGTAGTTTCGGCAATATCAGCTCTATCGCCGTCGGACTCGAAAAAGTGTATGTGCGCCCCGATTCGAGCGATTACGAACTGGCCGTTTACGCACGACAACACACGCGATCCTGGAATTATAATCGGCTGGTCGCAGCAGTGCGCCTTCACGCGTCGCCGAGAGCGCCCGGGGAGCTCTCCTCCAGTGCACCGTCGTGAATTTCTAAACGTTTACCGCGGTTCAACGTACCGTGACAACTGAGTTACGATCGCCGGCGCGAGTCACGGTCGCCGAATTGTGTGTCGCAGTCGCTCCGGGTTTCTGCTGTAATTGCGTGAGAACGCGTATGCTCGTTCAGGTAATTATCATGCTCTGAAGCGAGAGAGAGAGAGTGAGAGAGAAGAGAAGAGAAGAGGAGTTCGCCAAGAGACCTCTCAGGCGGCGTTCTCGCAGCGAGAGGGAAATTAAAGAGCATCGATTGATCTGTGCGCAGGCACTTTTCTCGGCAAAAGTTAATTTCCTTATTGAAGAGCTCTCTCGCGCGCGCTGGAATTTAATTAATCCAGCCGCGCCGAGAGACGCGCGATTCACTGAGGTGTCTTGGTGAACGTTCGACACGTAGAAATGTATTATTTAATCCGCGGGTTGTCGGCCTTCCTCGGCGCATGGCTACTATGCAATTCGCGCGCGTGATCGCTTGCTTAATTATCGGAATTAATTTATGCGAAAAACCCGACACAAATACACGTACGTGCGCGCGTCGTGGAGTTGGGGGGATATGTGAGAATGCGTGTGGATTTCGACACGAATAATGCAATTATTGCGAGGCCGATTCACCCGACGTCGATTAACTCCCGTCGCGATTCAATCGGCTTCCCGTCCTTCTTTCTCCTCCGGATGATAGTACTTTAATATTAACGCTGACGGACAATTTAATTGATTACGATTATTGCCGGTCGACGTTGATAGACGTGTAATATCAATGTGTATTATCTGATAATCGTGTCCGCGTTATAGAGACTCCGGCGAACGACTGTAGGGCGAGTTATGTGTGCGCATCTGTCTTCTATTCTTTTTTTTTGTAAGCTATCGTCGTACTTAGATGTGTGTCGAGTGTACGTTTACGAGTGAGTCCTTATTTACTGGCAGAGAGTCGAAATCCTCGAAAAACCCGCGACGATCCGTCGCCACGATTAATCTGTCGATCAGATTTGGTTTTAAAATAAACAGTATATATCTGCGCGTCATCTAGTATTTACGCATCATGGACTGACTGCGCGAGGAAATTGATACGTGGTCTCCTATTACGTTGTATCGTGAGCAAACGAGTCAATTTTCACTCGCGCGACTGACATACGTCGAAACGACATGATTTAAATGGATAAAAACACCCGATCGATAGCGTGCAGTGAGTATTGTCCGATCGCGAATTATTTCGGCAAAATTATTCTCGCCTCACGGGAAATATCATTTCGAGTCCATGTAATTTGATTTGACGTAATTCGAAATAATCCAAAGCAAATTAATTTAATGTGGCTCGATTCGTCTCGATCTGTTTTAAGGAACAAATAGAACGTGATCCGTATAAATAATATTGCAAAAGAGTAAAGAAATTGGCATATGAAACTTGAAATATAACAGAATATAACTTAGTAATAAAATGTGTTCAACGTTTGTTCATGGCTATTTTGCGATTATTTTTGAAGGCAGAAAGTTGTCGAGTGACTTCGTATTTCTTATCTCTCCTAGAAAGTTGAGAATTGCGATTTTTTTAATAAATGCACTGTCACGATTCCACACGGAGAAAAATAATTTTGTCGCTGTTGTAGCGAAACGTTATGCTACTGCATGTTTGTTGAAACAGTAACAAAATTTAGTTTTGACATAACTAAATTAACGAATTATTCGTAATTAGAGCCGAAACAATTTTGTTGTCAGGAAAATGAAAAATGATGAAAAATATTCTGTTGAGTGAATTGGTCTTTAGGACACATTAATTTGTTGTTAGGACAAAATAGTGCTTACTAACTTTTTCTACATCAAAATAATTTGTAGATTCAGCAAAATAATCCAGCGAATGACAATTAGTACTCTTAACAAATCATTTTGCTGTCCGTACAGTAAATAATAACAGATCTTATTGCGACAGCGTAAAAATTGCTGTGCCAGCAAATTATTTCTTTTCGTGTATATACTAAACATTTTGATATCGCTACACCTACGTGCTATAACGCGTGTTATTGTTTCAATAAATCTACCGATGAATTCTGAAAAAAATTTAGAAGAAATTCCGATAATTTTAAGAGGCCGATACAAAAATGCTTTTCATAGATTAAAGATATAACACTTAGAACAGCAGTAAAGGAAAAAATAAAGATTCGTGCAGTTAGGCGTTATCAAGTTGGAGAAGATAGAGAAAAACGCGAATATTAAGGCCAGGAACGCTCTAACAGTTATTTCTTTATTAGTATCAGTTCAATATGTTACATACAATATTAATATCCCACTTACCTGTAATAATCGTGTCCATGTCATATGTACAATCTGCCAGACGACTGTATTGTTGAATTGTATTGGATATACGTAAAAAGCTACGTGCGTATCTGTCTTTTTCGTAACCACCATGGAGGGGACAAAGAGTTTGTTTACGTGCGAGTCGCTGAAAGTCAGTCGATTGCAGCACGTCGCAGAGTCAGTTGAACTTGCGTCGTATATTTGTTCATTGATCAAAACTTCGCAATATCGCTTCCGAATTTTGCAAAAGAAAATTTTAAGTCGTGCCTTTTATGGAACGTTATAACGTAATTTCGCAACTCATAAAAAGGAAGTTGCCGCACGATCACCGAGAATCTCTTACCTCTGACAAGACAATTTACGATAATCGCTTATTTATGAAATTAAGCGACATCATAGTTGACAGTATCGGAGTTATATTTAATTGAAATTGTGAATTTAATTAAAAATTATTTATCGATGGAAAGATAGTTTATTATTATTATTGCAATATTGCGCGATACTACACTGAGAAACTCATTTAGTTGAATCAACTAAATTCTTGTTTGACTATGGGCAAACAAATTTTTTTGGTTATAAGTACCAAGATTTAGTTTTCTGAACCAAAGGTTTGATTCTTTGCAACCTCTTGAAACTTCAGAGAATCAAACTTTCGGTTTAGACAACCAAACTTTGGTTATTACAACCAAAAAATTTGCTCATAGTCACACAAGAATCTAGTTGATTCAATTAAATGGGTTTTCAGTGTACGCACGATGACATTGTAGCGTGAAAACTTTTTAACGGGACTTTATCTCTTGCTCGTATTTATTATTTGGATCGCGATCTAGTTAATTCGCGTACATCGTGACCGCTTTGTTGTCTAACATCGCGACGAACCTCGCGATAAAGTCTCATTACGATCTCGCGTGAATAACACCGTCATGGTATGTGCCCTGAAGAAAGAGAATGAGGTTTAATCCGCGATACCAAATGCGTTATCTAATCTGAGCATCATATAAAGAGCAGCAAAGGCGAGATCGAGAAATAAACCTCGACTTCACGATTTTCGAAGTAAAAGTTGGTAAGTTTTTCACGATCTTTGTACGTCTTCTTCCCTCGCGTTCGCGTGTTAATTATTCCACCGTTACATCAATTCTACCACCACCGTTATATCTATTACTTCACTATTATGTTAATTGTTCCTTCATCACTTCAATTATTTCGCCGCTACGCTAATTGCTTGCCTCCAATTTTCCTCGATTGCTTTCCCGTTATATTACTCTTGTCATATTAAGTACACGTTCGGATGTTGAATTTGAATTGTAAATCTAACACAAAGTGTTTAAATAGTTCTCATTATGCGATCAAAGGACAAAGTGCTCCAGTTTTGCGCAACGAAATTCCAATTTCGCGCGGAAACTACTTAATTTTCTCTCCGATTAATTTCGTCGTTACACTGAGAAAAAGAAATTAAAACTTTGCAAAGTAAATGTTTCTCGTGACATTTTCTTCGAATTTTCTTTTGTGAAATTTACCTAAGTTTTCATATTAATTAGTTTATTTGCTACACTGAGAAACCTATTTAGTTGAATCAACTAAATTCTTGTTTGACTATGGGCAAACAAATTGTTTGTTAGAACCAAGGTTTAGTTCTCTGAACCAAGGTTTGGTTCTTTGAAACTTCAGAGAAGCAAACCTTCGGTTTAAACAACTAAACTTTGGTTATTACAACCAAAAAAATTGTTTGCCCATAGTCAAACAAGAATTAAGTTGATTCAACTAAATGAGTTTCTCAGTGTAAGAATACAATTTTATTTCGCCGTATTTTTAAATGAACGTTTATTTCTGTGAACTTTATATTTCACAAATAAATTTTTTAAGTCTTTTTCTCAGTGTACGAAATCTTGCAAATTGACTTTGCGTTCTTGATTTTCGGATAACAAGGTTCATGCAATCACAGGTATAATAAAGTGGGTCGGATCTGAGTGGTAGAAACATTTTGTAATTTTTTCAACTAATTTTTTTGACTAGGCACGTTGAAAAACCCATTTAATTGACTCAAAGAAAATTCGTATTTGGCATACAGGTATTTTGGTTGTAAAAACTAAAATTTGGTTCTCTGAATTTTTCCTTTTAATTTCAGAGAACTAAACTTTGATTCTCAACTAAAATATTTACTTGCCTTTATCCAAACAAAAATTTTATTTGAGTTAACTAATTGGTTTTCACAGTGCACTTTTTATTCTCACAATAAGTTAGAAAATATTTAAAAATAATAATATAAGTAACTAAAATATATCATAAAATATGTAAAATATGTGAAACATAGCGCTTCACAAGCACGGAAGTATTAAAATATAGATCCGGTCAGATTCGACCCAACCTTGTTATTCAAGGATTAATTGGGAAAAAAGTACACGCAACACCAACAAACAAAAGTTTCGCATCTTGTCGCCGCGGGGGATGAACGCATTCTACTTTTCTCGCGATCGTCGTAAGCGAGTCCGGTGCGTAGAACGAGCACGCGGCGTGCGGCGCGCGTGCGTTCATGTATGCGTGTCCGTCTTTTTTTCGTAATCGCCGACGTGTCGGCGGCGCCAAGCTAGAAGACGCGGAGGAAGGCCGACGACCCGTTATAAATGGAACCAGAGAGACGGCATTTCTCGAATCGCTGCTTGTGTTGTTATTCGCAGCGCGTCGGCCGCAGCGGGACGAACCAGCCGAGAAAGTCACCCTTCTTTCGAGGCGCGAGAAACGAGAGAACCAGTGAATCAGCCGTCGTCTCGCCGTCATCAGGAGCTACTACTATCAGCTTCCGATATCCGGCCCAACAAGGACCAGCTGAAGGAAGACGACAATTTTTCGAGCCAAGTGGACGCTTTCTCGCCGCTCTGGTGCGATAGAGTGTGCAAAGCGCTGATATATTGACACTCACTCGAGGAGAGTCGACGCAGCCGCGAGTCAGCTGAGATCCCTCGTCTGTAAAGAAGCATGTATAGCGAACTTGAGTCATGCTGTAGCGAATGATGTTTGGGTTGCGACGACAATTCTGTTGCGCGTCTTTTTTTCGTAATCGCTGTCCTAGCGAGCGTATGTTTACGTGTGAATCGTTGTCTCCTTGTTGAAAGTCGGTTGGTCGCGCCACGCAGCAGAGTCGCTGTTGAGGTTTTTCTTACACGTCGGTTCGTCCATGAGAAAAATTCGCTAGATCAATTTCTCGAATTTGGGATACATTACAAATACAAATATCCTAAGAAACCATCGGTTATCAGTCAACGTCATCGATCCTTCGCAAGATAACGCGTGACACATCTGACTCGACGCACTTATTAAGTAGCCAACGAGAACAACGCTCGACAAAGCTTCTCCGACGACAAAGCAGGTGGGGAAAGGGAAAAGACGATAAGAGGACGCACGACACCGAGTCAGGTGGAGCTCCTCGTTATCCTCCGGGTACCAGGAAATCGCGATAAGATAACGGCCGTAGCGTTCGCTCGTAAACAGTCGCGTTCGGAGCGCCGAGGAGGACGGAGGCAAGTCTCAATCCTCTCGGCAGATCAGGAGCACCAGGTGGCGATTGTGGCAACGATCTACCCGCTTCGGGAAAGGAGAGCTCGTTCCGATCGAAACGGTCGCGCAAGTTTTCAAGCGAAGTGCTGACAGAGAGAGAGAGAGAGAGAAAGAGCGTGTCGCAAGACCGACGTGTCGTCGGAAAAGGAAGCCTCGGTTGCACAACCCGCGCAGGCTTTATCGTGCCATTAAGGATCTCTCGCGAGGAGAGCGAGGAGTCGAGCTGGGCGAACGTGCCGGGCGAAATCGCGTCGTAATCGCGGTTACGTTCGCCCCGGTAGAAAACGACGAGGCGGAGCGCACCGCGGGGAGAGAGAGGCGCCTATTCATCAACCGCCACTATTTCTTCAAAGTCGCGCGGCAATTAATAGGAAAGAAGCTGTCGCGAGACTGAACACGCTCCGATCGACGTTGCGCGAGATTAACAGCTTCGTATCTAACCGGTGACGACGGGCGGCGGTATTAATTGATAATCGCGATTAAACAACCGGAGCTGAGACGCGAGGAGAGCCGCTGGAATATATCAGGCATAGCGGCGTTTTCCGAGCTGGCTTCTTCTCGTAACTTCTCTCGTTCATCTCGGAGAGGATTCCGAGCCGATGCTCCACGATTGGGGAGGGGGGAGGGGGGCACTTAGCAGTTTTGGAATTCCATCGTCGAGGGAATTAATCAACGTCCAAGCCGTTAATTAACCGGTGCAACAATTAAATATCGCGAAGCGAAGGAGGAGAAGAGGACGACGAGAGAGGCAGCCGTTCGCGTTATTAAGAACGAAACTTGATGGGACGCGTCAGAAATTAATTAGTGATTCGTAATCGCCGTGCTCACCCGGAATATTGAGCGGCGATGACTCGAATCGGTGATTGATTGATAATTAGTAACCGTAAGTGTGTCACGATTGTTGCGCGCACGCGAGTGCCCGACAAGGACATCCGGCCCTTCCGCGCCACGCAACTGGGTCAGTGTCCTGCCGAGAAGGACCTGGGGATGCAAGTAGAGTGCGGTGCAGAGTGCGAAGTGATATAATTGGTGCGTCCGCGGAGGCGATGTGTGATGCCAGCCCGAATGACACTTAATCCACGCAGCTGATGACAAATGTAAACAGGATCAAGGTGGTCGTCCTCGGCGGCCCCAGAGTCGGCAAGTCAGGTGAGCGATCGCTCTAATGAAATTTTCTCCACAATTTATCTCATTTCACTCGCTTATCTCGGAATAATACCTCGCCTTCGTTTTTATCAGCACTATTCTTAGAATTCTAATGATATTATTGTGACTAAATTTTGATAATGTGTGGAATGGTTACACCCTCTTTTGCATTTTGGGCTTTGCAGAAAAATATAATTTTTATTGAAATACAGGTTTCACGACATAATTTGGGTATAATTTCAGGATACAGAAATAAATTCAGAGGACACAAAAGTAACATAAATTCATATAAACATTTGCCCTATCTGACTTTGTTTCCGAATTACAGACATTTTCGTATTTCAATAATCCTTGTTTGTTAACTTTGTTAAGTCGTCAAACTTAAATCCTCTGAATTTTTACATATAAAGGTTTTTACATGTAGGTCAATTAAAATCTATAGTTTACGATACAATGGTAGCCAACGTTGATGTACTCCGCGTATTAAAGAAAGTTGTCAATAAATCAGAGCAATACCTAGAATATTCAAACGTGTTAGAAGATCAATGACGTTTACAGCTTCTTTTCAAGTCAAAGATGTGGTCATTTTGAACACTTTCTTTAAAGACGGAAATATGTGAAAATGCTACACTAGCTCAGTTTGTAACGATAATTGGCGAAACACGAAAACGGTTGTAACTCGGAAACTAAATTAAATGAGACAAATGTTTATATGAACTTTTTGTACTATTTTTGCGTCGTAAATTCATCCTTGAAATTATGCCCACATGTTATGAAACACCCTTACAAAAAATTAAAATAAACTATATAATACGACGTGTCGTGTGTCGTATTTTGCGGAGGGAATTTCGCATGTTGACTCTGTGTACGGGATTAAACCTGAATTACGTCAAACGAATCGCAAAGTAGATGTTTGGGAGCATTAATAATTTTTTTTTATCAGAATTTGCAGAACACGTTTTCGTCGCGTCGAAATTGATATTGATTCGCTCGCTCACTCGTACGCACGCAGATAATAAATAATAGCCGGTAGAAAAAAGTATGCGCTGCTCGATTATGGCGCAACGGCGTGAAATATTGAATCACGTCGGAAGGACGTTCATTATGGTGGACGATACTAATATCGCGTCGCGTACAGCGTGTAATTTCTGCGCGTTGTCTAATAGCGCACCGACGCAACGCATTGAATGAAAGTGCCGTTAAGATGGATACGCATAGTCCTCGGAATAATACGTTGCATTAGTTAACCCGACAGTCGCGCGACGCATATAAAGCGAGCAAACGAACGCGATAAGGCGGTTCGCCGACCTCAAATAAATCCTATTAATAACTGCTAGGACCCGGCACCTTAATAAAGCGCATTCTGCGTCTTATTTCTTTCTTTTCTCTCTAATTTCTCCTCCCGTCTTCTTCGTTCGTTGTTTTTTCGCATCGTTAAGTCACCGAATCGTTGCGTCATTCTCGGAAATTTATAATTTCTACATGAACGAGAGAAAAATAAATACGATTGTTTGAATTTCTGAGTTTCTTTCTATATTCGAATTGCAAATTTATGAAATTGGAACCCCGAAATGCGAATTTTAGTCAAATTCACGTGGCATTCATTTGTCTATGATTTGTCTACATTTGCCCATCAAAAAAATGTATTATCTATTCTGCAAAAATAAGTTATGTATAAATAAAAATAATTAAACAAGTTATGTATAAATAAAAGTAATTAAACAAATTTTTTATTTATTTTATAAATTGTCCTCGATTTGTCCACATTTGTCCATCAAAAAATTTTTATTTATTCCGCAAAAACAAGCTATACGCAAATAATAAAAAAAGAAATTGACCAAATTGTGATATCAACATCCTTATAACTATTTTCCTTTAATTCCTACGATTGTTTACGTTTCTGCACGAAAAATTGTTATTTGTCCACTTTGCAAAAGAGCATTATAAGCAAACAAAGCAAACAACGGGCAATTGTTCTTATAATATATAAACACTCCGTATGTGTGTATTTTTTTTCAAATGATGTACTGGGATCGATTTGTCCAATTATAATTCTTGTTTATCCATGAAACAAAAGTAAGTTATTAACAAACAAACACAAGAAATCTACAATGACAATGATGAATTTTATAAAAATTCGCATTCCTTCGGATTTCCTCCGATTGTTACATCCTTGCGATATTATTATGATATTCGGCATACGCCTCATCTTTTCGGTCTGTCGCGTTAATACGTATGATCGCGTTATGTCGCAGAATGCGAGGCGAAACACGCGACGATGGTGCCGGCGTGTTCTTTTGTTCCACTTTTTTGCGACGAAAACGACGACATTCTCACGCGGCGCCGTCGCCGCCGATGCGAGAAAGGATACCTCGCCGGGATGGAATCCTTAAAAGTCCCTCTCTCATGGGACCCCGCTGAGTATAATAAGGACCTCCGCGAACGTTATCGAATATCACTGCGCGAGCGAGAAGGAGCGAGGGGGTCGCCGTGCCACGAAAAATCCCGCACGGTTGCAGCGGCAGGTTGCTGCGAGATCTGGACATCCGATACATCCGTCCTGTTGGCCGCGTGGCGTTCTCTCCACGTTCGACCCTGGATTCCGAGTTTACGCAGTAACATTCCTCCCTTCCTTATCGCACCTCCGCATGATATATACGCGGTGTGCTGAAAGAACGTCGCGTACGTGAAACGATCTCGGCTTAATTTTTTCGCAGCAAAACGGTTGAGAGTCCTGTTCGATGAATGATTAAGGTAAAACGGGATAATGACGATCACCTAAGCGGAAACTCTCATAAAATTGGTAAGAAATGTCGGATTCAGAATCTGCTTAATGCAATGGATACACTGAGAAAAAGATTTCTTCAAATTTAATAAATTTTATTGTATCCAAACAAATTTCATCATTGGCATGCTCCAAAAAAACTAATGTTTCTATGAATAAGTACGATTGTTAGACTTTTCAACGAATATGTATCTTTATCTTAAACGAAAAATTTGTTTAAAACGAAAGATAATTTTCATACAAAGAAATTATTTGTTTCATTTTACAGATTTATTGTAACCAAATAATATTTTATTTGGTTAAAAGATATTATTTCCAATAATAGCGTTCTTTCTGTTAAATATAAAATATGTGTAATAAAATTTTCTTGAATTAGACAATAAAATTTCTATTTAAACAAATAATATTTCGTATATGTTGTTTCTATGAAATAAATTTTAGTTAAGTAAATAAAAATATTAAATCTAAAGAAACCTTCTACTCTGTGTGTCTACAGATGTTTACGATAATATAGATTGGTACAAAAAATTCCATAAAAATATATATCAAAGAGACAAATGAAAAAGCGAAAAATGAAACTTCACCGGGATTCCCTGACCTCAGGATAATGCTCGTTAACGATATTTACAATGTATAAAACTAGAAAAGACACATATTTTACTGAAAATCGAAGATATTTATTGAAAAAAAGATATAACAAAAGTTATGCATATAATATCTTAAAAAAATAGTCAATTATTTATTGATTTGCATCCATCACGTCCAATGATACTCGGAGATATCCTAATCAGTACAATTTTGTTTGCGTTCAAAGTCCGCAAAATATGCAGCGAAGCTACATTTCATCATCTCTCTCAAATTTTCCACAAAGAGAACATAACTTAATCTCGATCACTCCAGCACCGATTGACCGACATTACTAAAATTATATATTTTCATAAATAGATTAATCATGTTGTAACGATCCACCAATTCAGAAAATCTATACTCCTATCACATATTAGAAGTAACATTGCAAAAAATAATTGTAAAAAATAATACAATAATTTAGCATGAATAAATGCATGCTTACCACGTTTCTTTAGTAACGATCCTCATATCAGAAAACGACGAAATAAATTTTTCGTAATAGCTCAGCCGTGAACAATGCTAAGATAGCGATGCTGTATCTGATGCTTTCTTCGGTTTTTCATAGAGGACGGAAACTTACAGAATTCAATTCGTATCAACCATAATCGAGATACAGAAGTGACCGGAATTACTCACTGACCAGTATTACCCCATTCTCTTTTATTTTTTTTTAACTTGAACGCAGGTCGTTATATCGATCGCTCATTTATCGGGATTTTTTTCGATTCCTTGTTACGATTGTGTTAATTGATTGTAACGTCATTATCATTGAAATACCGAGCGCACGCGACACTTGAATCGTATATTTAAAATAAAGATTACATTAAGTGTTGCCCAAGCAAGATTACATCGGGAATGTTTAGCGAGAAGACTGAATCTTCAACGAGGACTTCGCAAAAACTGCTAATAGCGAGGGATCATAAAAAGAATCGTAGACTCGCGAGAAACGCAAGATTGTTATCTACAGCCATTTATCTGCGTTAACGCTTATTGAAGAGACAATTGGAGGTTCGCTACTAAGCCGGGACGTGTTCATAAATTCATTTGGTCTAAACGACTTGCTTTATTGCCGTGTCACAAGAAAAGCGGACAGACAGAAAAAAATAATAGCTCGCGCGAATCGCTCACCAGCGAACTTCTTTCTAGACGATCAATTCGATATTTTTTATTGTTCATGCCATCTCGAGATCGCTCATACACATGTTGATAGCTGAAATCTTAAATAACAACTTAATCGCGTGCCCTTTTTGCTCGTATTATCTTTCTCCTCATTTTCGCCTCAAAAAAAGTGTTTACCGCTAATAGCGTGTAGTTATCATTATTTCCTTCTTTTTTTAGATAATAAATCAAGAGAAAAGGGGAAACGTTCCTCTGCATGTTGTTGTACATGACGAATAAATATGTTCGAATTAATCCCGACGGTGATTACTAGAGAAAAGAAGGAGAAAAAAGAAAGAAATTAGGCGCACGAAAAATTCAACGCGTAGCTCTGCGTAGCGAAATGCGAGGTTGATTAATCGGTCCATTTAGCCGCTTAGCAGTTTCTATGGGCGTTTTAACGTGCTAATATGTGGGTGAGCAGAATTTCTGCCGATAAAAGATCCGCGACGAGTCCTCGGGGCAGAAAGGAAACTCCAAGGAGACAAGAGGATGCGCTTGGTTGATCGCGCCGCGCCATCGACCCTTTTTTATATCCCGTCTGCTCCTCTCTATCTCTCCCTCCCTCCCTCCCTCCCTCTCACTCACTCATTCACTCACTCTCTTATTCACGGCGATCGTGGCCGTAATTACTATTTTCTTACGTCCACCAGCGACTTATCTTCCAACGATCTATCTATAGAACCCCGCGCTGGCAACCATCGCACGTTGGCGAATGGCACCACGAATGGCTGCATTTTGCTCGTACCGTTGCATCTTCCACATTACACACAATTCTCGGCAGGTGACTTAATCGGCTGCCTCCTTTCATTCTTCTCTCTTTCGTTCTCCTCTTCTTCCTGCTTGGTTTCTCCTTTTTTTCTTTCTCCCGCCTCTTCGTTTCGCGTAGAATCACAATCGCTCAACCGATCGAAAAACTGCTCTCCGTTCGGTAGCTTTTCGGAGCTTTGTCAGCGAACAACATCGTAATAATTGAACTATCTTCGTTTTATTGATATTTTCACTTAATTAAACTTTCCTGAGTCGAAAGGCTCTACATTAAACTTTTAATTTTACAACAGAATAACAGCTAAGATATAACAAAATATATTTAATTTTAATTCTTATAATATAATATAACTCCTATTTTTTTACCCTGATGATGTCTTAAATTTCCATTTTTGGCGTCAAAATAGATGGTTGAAGATGGCATTAAAATTCAATCCGTCGGATTAAAAGTTTAAGAAAGGAGCTAAAGAGTGTTAGTATTGTCAAAGTAGGTGGTAGGTAGGTAGTAGGTCTTTATTAGTCTATAGCTCGTCTAAGTAAGTGCAAACTATCCTTAACAGCGTCAAAGTAGCATCAAAATATCAAGTTGGGGTTTCCGAGTCGAAATTTTAAATTCTACATTAAGTTTTTAAGTGGAAAAAATGGGAATAAATAAGAGAGAATAAATTCCCTCTTTTAACATCAAAGAAACACAATAAGTGTTCCTTTAAAGCTACAAAGGGAATTTGGTCCTTCAGAATCTAAATTTTAGTTCGACATTAAGTCTTCAAATTGAGGAAAACGGCAATAACTTCCCCATTTGTACCTGCCAGAAAAGCACAATAGAAGACTTTTGAACATTCAATGTAGAATCAAATTAAACTTAAATTAGAACGAAAATTTTGACTCGGGTTATTTCACTTCTCCGCAAAATATTCCGTATTTTCATCTCGGATTCTTTCCTCGCAGATTTCACGTTGCGGTTGATCGCCGAAACTTGAATTCACCAAAATTAAAATCGCCGAAATCATCTCACGTTTCTCGTCCTGGTCCTATCCGCTTCATCACGAGAATCCGTGCGAGTCGGTCGTCCGTTACTTTTGTCCATCATAAATACGACGTTGTCGCAGCGTTGACCGCGCGCACCGTCACTCGAGTATGACCCCGCGTAGATAAGAACTTTATAAACGCCCTGTATCTCCGGCTCGAGTGTCGGGTTTCCTTTGCGTTTGGGCTTCGACGTGATGGAGAGCGTGCTTTCATTAGACCCCACGCTTGGCACAGATCGCCGTTGGGACTATTAGGCATTAGGAACAACATTCCCGTGTCCACATCAATTACTTCGGTTCACGCGGCGTGTATAGGATTACGTGTAACGTCGCTTCGGTTTGATGACAGTCATCTGTGAGGGAGAGTGTGTGTCCACTCGATTACGTGGTAGCACGGCGTAGACCGCTAATAATCCGTGATGTCGTTACACAGACCGTTGAAAGTTTGACCTTTCAGTGAAGACTTCTATTTTTAATTGGTTAAAAATATGACGTATCACTAGCGGCGCGTAGCGTCCGTTGTTTTACGTCGCGGTGTGTGCGACGATCATTTATTTCCTCTATATATAATCAAGTATAAATAAGTGCGAAGAAGATAATCAAATAAGAAACGGGAGAGAGCGTGTGAATTCACAAATCGGAGAATTTCGTCGAGACGTCACGAGGCAAAAGTCGACAAGCATTTTTGAAATATTTCAACATTGGAACGTTCGAACGTACTTTTAAATAAAGCGCAACGCACAACAGTGAACGATTCGAACGTGTGCATGTTAATTGTAATTGTATCCTCATTGAATTAAAAATAGAAATTCCTCTCCCGGAGGAATCTCTAAAGAAGGATCTCTAAAGGATTAAATTTCCATTTAGCCCATTAGCTTTTCGCGATCATGTATTGAAGCGCCGTTGAAATATCATCGTCCAGCTGCGCGGATATATTTCGAAGATATGCACTCTATCTCTCATCTCGGCAAATAGCTCACGAATGAAGTTCTATATTCTGTTTCTATTTGTGTCTATTTCTCCTCTCTTTTCCTCTCTTCGTGATATTCTCCCTCTCTCATTCTCTCTTTCATCGCCCTCGTCGTCTTCGTCGTCGTCGTCGGGCTGAATCGACGACAGATTTATAAACGGTGTACCTACGAGTATGGAGCGGCACGAATCTATGTAGCCAATAAGTCTTCAAGGGTCGAACGACGACGACGACGGCGAGGAACGTCGCCGACATGTTGAATCCTAGGCCGCGTTTCGCGCGGTGCAACGAAACGAAATTTATGAAGCAAGAAATTTATCGGCAACTCGCGAGAACCCGTTTTGATATTTATGGTTTCTTTATTAACGGACGATGGAAGTGAGTTAATAGCGTTTCAACACCTGCACGCAGGGGCGCGTCTTTTAGCCGAGGAGACGCCGAGGAATAGATACGTTCACTCGACGCGATTCAACATTTAATTCGACACTTAAGAGAACGCCATACTTGAAAATTTGACCGACGGTATACTGGTTTTTTTTTGCAAAACTTACGTTTTATTGGCTGTACAGAATTATAAATGTTTTTACACAGTGAGAAAATACACGCGAAAATTAATTGGATCATTGCTCCAACATATAATAATATTGCTGCAGTATGTGGCGAGAATAATTAAAAATTTCAAAGTGACATCTCTAACTGTCAGTTAGTAAATATTCACCCGATACAGAAATCTTACAGCTTATACATGCCGTATGTATCAATGCTCTAATCAGGAACACTTCCAAAAACCTTCTTATATACGGAGAAAATATTATAATGAAAATTACCATTCAAATTTTGTTATGTTATAGCGGAATTATGATTGAAATTATGATGTGTGTTGTAATCTTTAGTGATGTGTACAATGAAGCATATTATTAAAGATCACAATACATATTATAATTTCAGTTATAATTCCGGTATGGGCCAACATTACAAAATTTGCGTAGTAATTTTTACCACGATGTTAGCTATAACTAATATATAAACTAATAATGTATTAGCTATAGCTATTATTATTTAGCTATAGTTTTTCAGTTAAATTTAGAGACCTGAGAAGATATGAAAAGTTGGCAGAAAAATTTTCATATATTTTGGTTAAATTTCCCATTATAGATACAGTAAAATAACGCACATTCATCACACTCATTTATGTAAGATATACAAGAAATAATACAAAAAAGGTAGTGTGATCGTGTCAGTGTTTATGTGACATAACATTTTGAGGATTGTTTCTACGTTATCAACGTTTATCCAGTTCGTCAACAACTACAATATTTCCTTAACGTTCCCGGCCGGATTTTTTTGCGAGATGGTTCTCGAATTTTCTGATCGATCTTTCTCTTTTCTTTCTGTTTCAGCCGTCGTTGTGCGATACCTGACGAGGCGATACATCGGCGAGTACAGCTCGACCAGCGGTGAGTGGTTTCTTCTTTGTTATCCCCTACCTCGCGCAAAATATAATTGCCGGCGCGAAATATTCGCTCGTGCGAACTAAGCGAACAATCACGATTACCCGCTCTCAATTTCGAGGTATCACGACCTAAATAAATGTCCTATCTGAAGTTCCCTTCTGCCACGTTACCATTTCGACTTATCTCACGAGGGGGGCGGCTCCAGCTCACCCCGGCTTGCAAAGGCGAGCGCGAATCTAAATCTTGATCAGTTCCCCTCGCGTGCTTGGTCGTGCGCGCGCGCGCGCGCCGGAAAAATCCGCCGTGAAATATTCTCGCGCTTAAAACCGGACTCTAATTCAAGGGTATCCGTGAAAAATCTTAATCATGGCGCCTCGCGAACGACGTCCCGAGGGCATTCTAGCGGTCACAGAAATACGCGAGATAGAGCGAAGGGCTCTTTATAAGGAGGGGTAGGAGGAAAGCGGGGTTTATAGAGATAGATCGAGAAAGGGAGAGCGAGCGGAGGAGAGAGAGAAAGAGAGACGCAACAAACACAGCGCCGGACCCGAGGAGGAGGGCGGAGATTTAAACACTCGATATGAAATAGAGCCTATGGGGAGGGTCCGCAGAATGCAGATCTCTCCCATAACTCATGCAGGCTACTTCGCCATAATAATTGCCGTGCACGCCTGCGGACGTGTAAGCTACGACAGCGAGTTTCGCGGATATCCGCCGCCTGGAAAAATTCACCCTTCCCGCCCGGCTCACACACCTCGGGCCCCGTGAAGTATTGTCCCCTTAACCCTGAACCGTCACTCGCATTTTTGTAACACTTGTGCATGTGACCACGCCGACTGGCCACGTCTCCTCACCGGCTCTTAGCCATTTAAACGACGCGCCGCCGTTTCTATCGCGATCGGTGATGATAATCGGAGAACCAGAATTAAATATAATTTGCTGGAGAAGTATGCAAATTTATGTTTGATTAGGAAAAATTGTTGCTAGCATCGCGCGCAATATATATGTGCTCAGCTTTAGGATTAAACTTCCTTTTGGAGGATAAATTTTTTTTTAGATCAGGAAAATGTATCGACGAAAGTTGTTACATCGAATGTCTCACCGTGCATTTTCCAGTATAACGAATTGACACGAAAAAGGTTTATATTTTTCATATTTCGCGCGTAACTCGGTGTCTGCGCATTTTTTCAAATGAATCAAAACATTAGATTTTTTTAATTGGTCGTTGATCAGTAAATCAACTTCAAAACGCGCGGCTCAATTGGAAAACACGAGCTTCTCATCTTGGTACTTATAAGCCTGTAGCCGAGTCTGCAGGAAGTTTCTCCTCACTTTCCTCGCAACCGCGTCCACGTAACGTGCGGAAAGCTTCCCAGCACAATAGCGCAATCATCGATTTATCGAATTTCTCTCGTGTAACTGGCAGTTGGAATCAATCTTGATCTCGATCGATCTAGCCGCGATCGATAATGCCAGACGAAAGTGGAGGGAAGGGCGCCGTGAGTGGTCTGGCCATCGGTATTAATTAATTTCCTGGGAAAATGATGGATAATCACCGTTGAACGTAACCAGGAAGCGGATAATCTTGCGTGTCCCCCCCCCCCCCGTTGAGCGCGCGCGCGCGCTCGCGCGACGGAGAGGGGGAGGGATAATCGCTCAATCGATCCTCAAAGATGACGCCGTGGGCGCTACGATCCGATCGAGAGCCGTCCATCGTTGGGGATCGATAAAAAATGATAAGAATGACGGCCGACAAAAAGAGCCGCGGCGCGCAGACACGACAGGTAGTGTGTCCGAGGATATTATACACAGGCTGCGCGCCTTGTGTAAAATAAACCTTAAGAAGTACCGGAGGCATAAAACAGCGTCGGAGCAGGTTGCCTCAATCTAGAGATAAATTATTTCCACCGCATACAGAAATAGATAGAAATCAAAGTATCTCTTCTTTTTTTTTTGTAACTTTCTTTACGCTTTCTAAGACACGCGCTTTACCGAGCGCTCGTAAAATTTGAGGAAATTCATTCTGGCGTTCTCTCCTTGTTTATTTTAAGACTTCGAGACATCGAGAAATGTGGAAACTTTGGATTTTTCGAATGTTAACGACTTTGGCGTTTCGCCAAACTTACGAATTGGCTAAGATTGAAGTGGCATTCATGGTTATCATGATTCACGGCAATGGCGCATCTCCCTTTCTCTCTCTCTCTCTCTCTCTCTCTCTCTCTCTCTCCCAGTGTATCTCGCGTGAAACGAATCGAAAATACGTTGACACTTCGTGCGATTTGCGCGCATTATCGCGCACACTTTCGTTCCCGATCGTTGGAGAATCACTTTTCCGAAGAAAACGCCCTCGAACGGTGAAAGCGAGGCCATTGATTTCCTTCGGCTGGTCCGCGTAGATGATGTAGCAGGCGAATCTGTGAAAAATTTTCTACCGGGTAATAAATTAGTAGAAATTAGTATCTCTCTTATTAGTCTAAAATAAAATATCCGTAAGTTGACGCACACAGAAAAATATTCGAAAATTCTAATAGATTGGATCTAATAGATTGGAGAGAAACCGCGCAACGCGTTAATAAAATGTTACCCGCAGTTAATCCTTACAGAAATGTTCTAGAAATTCTCGAAGATGTAAAGCGCGAGAAAAATATTTCGAAGGAATTTGAAAATACAATCCGGAAAGATCTAAATATAAATGTAAGACGTCAAAACGATTCGAGAGTTCTAGATTTACAACCCGCTCTGCGCCTTGCTAGATCTCTGTTAGATGTCCGCGAGAAGGGAAAAAACGATAGATCTATAAATCTAGGCATCCTCTCGACGATATAGCGATTTAAGTTACTTTCGAAACGGCCGCGCATTATTGGTTTCCATCAGCACGACTTAAATTTGATCTCTCTGAATAAGATCGAGGATGATCTGCCACGGCGATTCCGATTACAAGGCATTCGTATGAGCGCTACGTTTTACGGGGCACGAGGATAATCGGTCCTTTTCATCTCTCGCCACGAGATGCAGCCGGCGTTTGTTATTATTTCGATCTCGATTAACAATGCAAATCTCTCCTTGCGTGGAATAATTCTAGGCAATGATTTAGAAAGCGAGTCTCGTTGTGCATTGTCGGCCCCCCCTCGCGAGCGCACGCGGATGGGAACGTTTTGTCCGCGCGGAGAGAAGATTGCATCGTGCATCCCGATCGCTCGATAGATCCACGATAGATCCACGATAGATCACGTACCACGGACGGATCTACGGCAAAAGCCGAATCCGCTCGGTGACAGTTATCGTGCTCGATCATATTCGTCGAAAGTGTGTCGCAATTTCATTTTTTTTTTTTTTAGCAGCAACCCATTCAATTTCCGCACTCCTAATTTGTACTCTTGGGCTCTTTATTTCCCCTTGGTATTTCAATTTTCTGTTCCATTCGCGAATCCCTCCCGCGTGCACGGTTCGGTTCTTAGATTCCCGACCGCTGCTCAAATTACGGAGTTCGTATCTCTTAGATCCGATTCTTGTTTTTAACTCGATTATATTACTCACACATATACACATATACACAAATGCATACAAACACACACACATTCACAGATCGTTCGACTTCTTTCCACATGCGTCTCTCGCACGGACCTCGGACCGCGTTCCCTCACGCTCTCGGAAGCCTTTTTCAGCACGTCGATATTTCTTCCACGAGGATGCAATGAATTTTCCGTCGCAACGCTTGGTCAAATCGTTTCTCCATCAGCATTGTCCAGCAATAAAACTTTCTCGAGCGTAACGGCCGCTAATATAACGAGCATCCTTATTTGCTTGTTTCTGCGCCTCCCCGACACTTTGCTGCCGACTATGAGGTGTTTATGAGTTTATTTATCGTTTATTTATTGCGCCTACCCTGTTAGGGCTACTGTATTCGACGTTCTTCCGCGTCTTCTCTTCTCCTTCTTCGCGGTGTGCATGCTTCGAGCGTTCTAATCAGCTTCGAGAAATATGAGCTTTCCCTTTTTTGCTTGCCCCCCTTCCCCCCCTTTCCCGAAGGTACGAACTAAATTCTGAAAGTTCGATCGTCTAAAAATGTAAGAAGAGCGATGAAATATCCAAAGTACTTAACCTCGCCGGACGCAAGAATCTAAAAATTCGACGACCTGTTATCCCGATTTTTAATAAAAAATATAACGATTCAAGGACTTAGATGTTCCAAGATGTAAAGCTATATACATTCAAACTTCCAAATATATGATAAACGTACTCTCTAAAGTGCAATTAGTATATTATTATTGAGAAACAGTCAATAGTAATTAGTGATCATAGTAATAAGTATAGCACTGTAAATAAGTAAAATTTTGCTGCAAAAGTCTGTTAATAGCAGCAACTGTTTCCATCGGAGAAATCTAACTACAGGAAAGAAAGATATTAGTTATTACTTCCTTTTTATTATCTTAATCCAACTCTAAAGATATTATTAATGATTTTGCCTGAAATATCCTTAATTATGTTTATGTTAATTAATTTAATTTATATCATATTTAAAAAACACACTTATTCTAATGAGACTCGAATTCAATACTTCTAGTTCTTGAATCTGCTACTATATAAACTACGCCAAATACGATATATAGTTGAATGCACATACGATATGTATATGTTTATTTCTGTTACGGGATACATAACAGTGATTTGCAGTGAATATTTCATTTAACCAAAATCAATAAAATATTAGATAAAAAAGCTAAGTGAACGTTACCATTAAAAATTAAGTGGAATACTTACTGATTATCGGATAGAATATTATTTCTCTGATTCAATTTAAGAGAATATAAAGAATGTGAAAATATTCAACGACAGTGAATAATGTACGGAATAGTTGGAGCATGCGTAACACGCTATTCAAAAATGTCTCACAGCGCGGCCGTTTTTCCGATCACGAATTTCCAGCGAAAGCCACGTGTCATTGTCAATGGTCGTAATGACATAGCAACGAGCGTCAGCGTAACTAATTGGAATTGTCGTTACCAACTACTCCGGGACTTTCGCGCATTAGCCGCGTTTTCTATCCTCGGGAAAATGCCGCTGTTGAACTTTTCCAAGAGGAGATCTCGTAGTATCGGTCGAAATAACGCCGATTAAGAAAGATTGCTTCGTCTTACCTTTTTCGATTTGCACTCCGTATGTCCCGCCAGACGTTTACGGTGATTGTAATTTCACTCGCAGGTGGTATTAATAGAGACAGGCGTCAAGCTTAGTGTTTTTCTTATTTGTTGCAGATTTCCTCTACCGGCACAGCGTCACTATCGACAATGTCACGACGGAAGTCGAAATTCTGGATACCTCCAGGTGCGAGGTGAGTCTGTATTACAATCAATATAACAAAGTATTTTCCTTAAAAAAGGAAATAACATAAAAAGATCATCAAAAATCCGTGAACAGAACAAAATCGATTTAAAGAGGTCACTTTTTCGAATATTAACGTTTCAAACGGAGATTTATGACTGCGATTCTAAACAAATAAATCGTGAAATCGTAGCTTACGAAGTAATCTTGCTTATTGAAGTTTATTAAATTGAAGCTTACGAAAGAATCTGACTTACAGTTTTATGTAAACTGTAATTTCATACTAGCATCTGTACCGCTTATCGTTACATATACGAGGTCTGTTCAAAAAGTATCGCGAATTTTGAATTTCCGCGGGTTACGTATATTCGATTTTCGATTATTTTGTGGTGTTATGTTGGTACTCATGTCCCTCACTTATGCCAACAAGTTCGGCCATTTTGAATATTCAGTTTATCTTTGACAGCTGTTTTGCTTGGACATGTTTTGGCTCGTCTTCGATTTTTGCCTATTCCAAAAAATGGATCAAAGAATCTAACAAAATTAAGTGCGCGGACGCATTCCGAATGTTGACTGCGGCATATGGTGAAGCTACCTTGGACCGAAGCAACATTTATCGGTGGTACAAAATGTTCTCAGAGGGCCGAGAAGATGTGAACGACGAAGAGCGTGCCGGACGCCCGAGCACGTCAACAACAGACGAAAACATTGATGAAGTGAAGAAAATAGTATTGGCCAATCGTCGAATCACCGTTAGAGAAGTTGCTGAGGACCTAAACATATCGATTGGCT